GGGGAACGGTCAGTGCAGAGGCCTTAGACAGGGTGGTACTCAGGGGTACAGGGCAACGGTCAGTGCAGAGGCCTTAGACAGGGTGGTACTCTGGTGTACAGGGCAACGGTCAGTGCAGAGGCCTTAGACAGGGTGGTACTCAGGTTACAGGGAAACAGGAAGTGCGTGAAAGTGGGAGCAGAATGAATTGGAACACATGAGGAGAGTGGAAGGAGATGACGTCAGACCTAACTTAGAATCTGTCATGTAGGAACTTGCTGGTGGTTGTAAGGGATTTAGCTTTTATTCTGAGAAAAGAAGAACAACTGGGCAGTTTTGAGCATAGGAATGATCTGGCTGCTCTGTTGAGATCGGACTGTAGAGAGAGAACTGGAGGCAAGTGAAGCATTGTGACAACAGCTCAAGAAGAACCAGTTAAGAGTTGTCACAGGAGCCTAGACCAGAGGTGATATAGATGGTGAGAAGTCAAGGTTATTGTGTGGTGGAGTATGAGAGGAGAGGGGTTGAGGTTTGTAGACTCAGCTAGTGGAAAGAATCAAGTTGCAGTTAAGTGAGATGGAAAGACTGTGTAGCACAGGTCTTGTCGGGGACTGTCAGGTGAATTTTGAGGACGTAGGTTCCAATGTTTGCTGAGCATCAAGGTAGGGACATTGACAGGTATGCTAGTCACTAGGAGACTAGGAAAGACATCTGCTTCATAACTCCTTCCTACCCTTCTGTCTTCCAGAAATTTGATGATAAGTTTACTTTTCACAATGTACTTTGTCATGGGTTTATTTAATGATATTTTGGAATTTCAGTAGAATTTTGTGAGTGGGGGAAGATTGCCCCCCATCTACTCACTACTCAGTCTGCCAACCTAAGTAGAGACCAGATCTTCCTGTGTTGTCACCTCCCTGGTTAGCATCCCTACGTCTTTAACTTCTCATGTCCAGTTGGCTTCTTTGGCCTGGCATTAAGAAACTCACCCTGTGTTATCTCCTTCATCTCTGTTGACTGTCTCTATGCCATTCTCATTTCTGCCTCTGTGCTCGTGTGATGGGCATCTGCCTCTTTGGATGTGCCCTTCTCATCCTGACTACTTGTCATCTTCTGTACACTCTTCTCCAGGCACAGCTTAATCACACAGTGTTTTATATTTTCTTCTCTTTATTTTACACACAAGTATTACTTCCTCGGAGAACATAATATAGCTACTTTGAGAGTAGAGACCTGAATAAAGTTCTCTAACAAAAAGCTGAGAAGTTTCTGGTACTGTACTAATTTAATATGCAGGTGTTGGAGGATAAGGCAGAAAACAATTGTAAGTTTGGATCTTTAATGTAGTGATTTTCTTCACTTTGGCGCACCTCCCCCTCCCATTCTACACCCATGATTTGAAGGGATTTTTTTTTTTTTTG